TTTAACACGTTTTATAGTGCACAAATCATCATCGTACATTATTTTAATGATGATTCATGCAATAAAATCTGCAGTAATAATAGCAAATAACAATTATTTTGAAAAATGTTACCATTGGAGTACGTCAAGATACCAATGGTGTTTTAGGAGTCCTTCAAAATGAACTTTAAACTTGTATTCAGATCTGGCTCCATTCTGTTATTAAATGCACATTTTAAAATCCTGTCCTACATTTTTTGTCTTAAGTATCCTAAAGGGCCATTCACACAGAAAGGGGCAGTGGAATAAAAAAAAAATCACAAGGTCTAGAGAGACTTTTTTTTTTCATTTAACTTGAGAGCCACTCTTTTAGAATAGCATGTTTGTACTGAAAAACTATGGAAAAGCAGTTGCCACATTATTTGTGGAATTAAAAAAGTTAACCTGGGAGGGGGGGCAAAAACCAATAATAGCTAAACAAAATAACTATTTTGTGAAATTAAACACTTTTAAAAAGTTGAACTTTAAGTTAAGATGGCGTTACATGCAGTGCAGTGGAAATGCAAAACACATGCTGTGTGAACAGCCCCTACACCAGTAAACTGGATTACAAAACCATTTCACGTTCAAGTTGTTCAGGCTATAATGTTCTGTATTATTGTGCATTGGGTTGTATTCATGTTTATTTGTAACTGTTGCAGATGGAAGGAGTCAACTCTTGTTGGCGTTGCTTAAATGCACTGGTAAGTTACTCTAGATTTGAACCTTTCCCTTGTTGAACTTGACCATTGTACTGTAGATCATTTCAAATAGCTATTGAAAGTCAACCCAGAATGTTTACATGGTCACGAACTTGCGTCATCATCTGTGTGAGACTTCAGAAAGGCAACTGCATTGTGTGTGATTTATCATCCCTACTACTGTTCTGGACTGAGCTGTATTTACAGACACCTCCATGTGCTGTGATACGGGAGTGTTTTATTGGAATTCTGTAGCAGGGAGTGTGTGCATATGTTTGTGTGCGTGCAGTCAAGCTGCAGTGGGGTGTGTCTGTTTGTGAGCTTCTGAGCGAGCAGTAGACACAGATAAAGTGAGAGTGGGTTTGTCCCATGGGGTCTGTGGTGGGAGACATATGGAAGCTGTTGAGCGTTTGCTTTGGAACCTGATCTAGGGCCCTTATCCCTACTGCTCCACGCAGACAGCAGCTCCAATCCCTGTTCCCACCCAGCGCTGCTGTGAAACCCACCATCTGCTTAAAGTATTACACAACATGGCTTATTTAAAAATATATATTAATAATTGTATTAAAGTTTCACAATATTGCTGTTTTTACTGTATTTTTGATAAAATAAATTCAGCCTTGATGAGCTCAAGAGGCTTCTTTCAAAAACATTAAAACATCTTGCCAACCCCAAACTTATGAGCAGTAGTGTATCTCTTCACCAGAGTACTGAATATGAATATACAATAATATTTATAATATTTTATATTATAATTTATATTATAGTTTAAACAAATGATTGGGTCTAAGACAAATATTTGTATTTGTCTGTATGATTTATTGACTCTTAAAAATGTGATACAAACATGTGGAAAAATAATTACAATATTTTCCATGCATAATGAATAAATGTGAGCGTACACTCACACATATCTACTCTTCTGTCCCAGACACAGAACTCCAGTTGCGGCGGGATGTCATATTCTGCCAGTCTCTGGTGGGGGCGCTGTGTGCATTGGCGGAGCAGCTTGTGAATGCGCTGAACCTGCGTTTCAACAATAACGGAGAGTATGAGGAGGACAGTAAAGAGGTCAGCCGGAAATGGCTGGAGCAGATCGCCACCATTGGAGTGCTCTTTGACTTCCAGTCAACACTTTCTCCACATGTGGTAAGACTACTAGACAGTACATCTTATCATAGCTGATTCAGTGACAGTCATGCCACAATGGCTCAGTGCTTTCTACTAATACACACAAGCATGATAATAAAGTTTTAGAAGTGAATCCTGAGACCATTAGGACTAAATACAGAATCAAGGCCATCATATCCTGGATTTTCCTGGATGTGTGCAGTATTATTTCAGTCATATACTCTCCTGCTTCAGCATGAAGATCTTGATTATTTTGGGCTCACAAACTGTTTACTTGAACAGAGAGAAGAGCGAATCATGCTGGAAGATACAAAAGCAGCACTGCAAGATCTGGAGAAAGTCACCGTGCTGTTCCGCCCAATGGAGAACGAGTGCCTCGTCCCAAGTATGACACCACACCACATATATTAACACAAACACATCGAGTAATAGCTTGTCAATCACAGTGCCAACAGAAAAATACATGTGTATGTATATGTGTATATGTATGTATATAAATCTTTGTTTTATTTGCAACTTCGAAAAATAATTTTTGCATTGTATCCTCCATCCTTGATTCTTCTCTCATGACCTCTTGTGAACATGCCAATGAGATATTTTAATGAATAATGAATTTTACTTCATTCATCGTATAGCTTCAAATGACTTTGAATATTGTACACAATTTGCACAGACCACTTTTATGATGCAGCCAGGATTTATTTATTATTTATATTTATTTATTTATTTATATGTATATTTATATTTATATTTATTTATACAGCGGGTAAAATAAGTATTGCACACGTCACCATTTCTAAAGGTGCTGTTGACATGAAATTTTCACCAGATGTCGGTAATAACCCAAGTAATCAATTGATGTATGTATATATGTATGTATATATTAGTGCTGTCAAACGATTAATCGCATCCAAAATAAAAGTTTTTGTTTACATAATATTAGTTAGAAATGGTATAAATATTTATTAAACATGTATGCTAAGTAAATTAAGGTTTTAAAATGCATGTTGTAAACCACTGAAACACCAGCAACAATGACCACAAATTCCTTTCCTTTATAAATAGTTAGATCCAGGGTCCCTCCCTTTCTCTGATAAAGCTGTGTGATTCCACTAAAAAGTGAAAGCCAAAACTCTCATCCTTATATAGCAGCACCCCCTTCCCCTCCTCACAAACATACACACACCCTCCAGATGTCCTCTTCAGGAATGCCAGCACAGTTAGTCGTGATAGGAGAACAGCTTTATCTGCCGTCTTCTGTTTTGGTTTGACTAAATCGGAGGGAGGATGCTCTGCTCTGTGGTTTGTTCCTGCCACAAAGGTGTTTTATTTACAAGGTCATCTCTGTGTTGTACAAATGTGAACAGCTTGGCTTTTTATCTTTTAAACATCTGTGAGGTTTTTGCCTTTACTCATCTCATCAGGCTAATTACAACCTAATTAACCTGACAAGTTTCCCAGTGTGACCTCATATAAAGAATACTGTATACAGTATGTACGGGTGCAGACTTTTCTTAAATTAAGTAGTGCAAAGGACAAAGATTGAAATTGTATAGAATTTTAAATATTCTCTCACTGTGACTCATGCATCCTTTAATGCACTTTTTTCCAGACACATCTGTGCATTACCAGGTGGAAGGCAGCCGGCAGGCCATCAGGGTGACAATGTTCTTGGACAGCTGTCATTTCAGTGAGCTGCCAACAAGACTGCAGAATGGAGGCTCTTTGAAGCTTCAATCAGTCCTCTTCACTAGAGGTGGGAGCAGACAAAAGAAACAAGATAAATGACTATTTCCATTCTACATGTGTTTCATTTGTAATTTACAGTTCTAAAACTTTGTGAGCTGCCTACAAAGGTTATATTTTAAGGCACTATAGGCTATTCAAAAAGGTAGCCTTCTTAATTATGCTGCCTCTTAAGATGCCAGGCATGCTTCTTTTGAGGAAACACCTATCCCAAAATGCAATGTGATAAGAATAAATCACATTGAGAAGTGTCTATTTATTTATTTTTAGTTTAGGTTTTTTTTTTTTACTTTTGTTTTTGTTATTTTGAATATGTCTATATCAGTTTTAGTTCTAGTTGTTTGTTGAGAAATTGTTCCTTGGCATCTAGCTGAAATAAAATTAGTTTATTTCAGGTGGTGTTTATTTCAAGTAACAAAAAAAAATTAATGGTTTAAAATTATTATTATTTTTTTTTTACTTAAAAATAATAACCCTAGTAATTACATTGAATTATTTTACTCGTTTTTTGTTTGTACTGTGTATTTTTATGCTTAGGGTTTTGTGCAACATGCAAGCCTGGTATCAGAAAACTATTGAAATCAATTGGGGTTCTTATGAAATATGAAAATGAGTGGTGTTCCAAATCTGTCACTTGTGAGGTTCAGCGACGTTTAGGGTTCTGCTTTATAAGAGGCATTTATGGCTCAAATCCAAATATTGCCCTGTTTTAAAACTTTTTAAATTCTAGACATTTAAGGGCAATGCCTACTCAGATGTCACAGTGTATAGAGAGAGTGTTAGATGTGTATCAGAATTAGTCATGGTCCTAATGTGCTCATTTAGAGCTAATTGAAGCCTCACGGTTTCCTTTATGAGTCGTGGTCTCCATCTAGTGGCATGTGGAGAGCACTACAGCACTGGGCCTAGCATGATATTGATCTGCATTTTCTTAATCTTTATCAGGGCTGGAGAAGCCAGAAGGTGTGTTGTCTCAGGATTTTGTTGCCATGGAAGAGTTTCAGCAGCGCACAAATGCTCTGTCACTGGAGAAGGTCAAAGGTTATTACCGCAAACTCAGGTATATTTGGCCATCATACAGAGTGACCTTTGCTAGATGTATTGATTGATTTTAATTTTGCTGCTAAACTATTTATATAAATGAATAACATAGTTTAAAAAGATAACTTTAAAAATATAAGTTAAACATCTCATTAAGTAAATTATGTAATATATTTTAGATTTAAATGGCAAAAAAGCGTTAATTGTTTATATAATGTCTTTCATTTTTTAGGGCTTTTTATCTGGAGAAATCAAATTCAGACTCAAATTCCACTGCAATGAAAATAGACCAGGTAACATCCTTACACACTAACATTCAATTGTTTGGTCAGTTGATTTTTTTATGTTTTTATTCAGCAAGGATGCATTAAATTGATCAATAGTAAAAGTAAAGACATTTACAATGTTACAAAAGATTTCTGTTTATAAATTCTATTCTTTTGAACTTTCTATTTATTAAGGAATCTTGAAGAAATATAACAGTTTCCACAAAAAAAATGTAACGTTGATATTGTTCAAAAATAATAATAAAAATACATGTTTCTTGAGCACCAAATCAGCATATAGAATGATTCATGAAGGATCATGTGACACTGAAGACTGGAATAATGGCTGTTGATAATTCAGCTTTGCCATTACAGGAATAAGTTACATTTTTAAATATATTAAAATAGAAAAGAGTTATTTTAAATTGTAATAATATTTCACAATATTACTCTTTTAACAATATTTTTGATCAAATAAATGCAGCCTTTGGGATCATAAGAGACTTCTTTTAAAAACAGAATTAGTAAACTTACAGACTGCAAACTTGTGTATGTTTTGGCACTGGGATTCCTGTACAGACCAAACGGAACACAATCAAAATGCAAAGAAATCAATGCGTAGAAAAAGTTTTCTTAAAGTTTAAAACCAAAAAGTTTAATTTCATCATTTTAATCTCCAGCTCCTCCGGCCGCTTAACACCTTGGATGACCTCTGTCGGCTCATGCAGAAGTATATGAATGTAAAACCCGGCTCTGCGGGTCAGCCCACTGGAGTCAGTGTTCTTGTGGTGTCCTCCGAACTCTGCAACCGGCTGGGAGCCTGTCACATCACCATGTGTGCCACTGGGATGCAGAGGTATCTGCAGTGAAATGTTGTTTTCATGTTGCTCTAGACCCAATAGTCAAGCGTGAATCCACAGATGGGAATAGAGTTTTATTGAGTGACGGCTCCAAACACACGCTTCTTATCTTTAAGCCTCTTACTACTGAAGTGGAGCCACAGTCAAGTTTCTACTGTAAACTATATTTTATTTTGACTTTGATTTATTTCTTGCTCAAATGTGCATCGAATCCAGGTGATTTGTATCCTAGGTTACTGCTACAGTGAGATAAATCTATAACAGATTGTCTAAACTGCCTCTTGATTAAGGTTTTTTTTTCTGTGTAGATGTACTCTGACTGTGTCACTGGAGCAGGCCGTTACTCTATCCAGAAACCACGGCCTCATGCCCCGCTGCCTAATGCAGACCATGGACATCATGCGCAAACAGGTACAGCTTATGACATATACCTCAAACTGCTCACCTTATGTCTTTAAATCTTACAAAATCAATCCTGTGGTTTGGTAGAAAATGTTCTACATCTATACCTGCTGCCAAATAGGCCACTCCAGACTAACTCTAAGTAAGTTAATTCTTTAAAAAAAAAAAAAGTTTTTTAATGAAGTGAGGCCAGATTTATTTTAAATGTTTTAAATAAAAGATTATTGTATATATTTGTTTTATGTACTTTTTTTGTATTTAAATTATATTTCACCCATTCCACATTAATGGCAAGAGATGAGGAATACAACTTAAAGGGGTCCTATTATGCTTTTTCACTTTTTTAATTTTAGTCAGTGTGTAGTGTGTATGTTTAGGCATAAAAAAAGATCTAGAAAGTTACAAATCTCAAAGTCCACTCCAAAGGGAGATATTTCGTTTTTAAAAAATCCCTTTTCAAGAACTACAATGAACGGCTCGTTTGGACTACAGCGTTGGTTTCCGGGCTTTGTGATATCACAAAGCGGCCCATTAGAATATCATTAAAAATAATTTCCGCCTACAGAAAATGAAATACAGTAAAAAGTTGTTACATGAGGGCCTCATTCTGGATATTTGAGGTGTAGTTTTTTCAGTGTGAATAAACTATTTATCCAGATTTGTACTGTATGGAATGAAGAAGCATGACTTACCGTGGATCACTGTATGCATGCCCAGTAGGTGGCCACTAAAATGCTTCTGTACACTTAAAGGACAACTTCACAGGTTTTCAAACCAGCTTTGTATGTTACCTGCTCTCAGATATCCATGTATTTGTCAGGAAAATCTGCCAGATGGTGCAAAACACTGACAGACTTTTGCTAACAAATAAACTGAGATATTTGGATGCATGTAACATAGAAATAGTACACATTGTTTATTTACATATACTCCTGACTTTATGACAATTAGGGGTTGAACAACTTCGGATTTTTTAAGTCGACTTTTATGTGATGATGACGTCATTAATGAACAAATAAGTCTGGAGCTGTGATAAACACCTTGTGCACAGCTATGGCATATGACACAGCGGTGCCCACGTGGCTATTGCTCCAACAGCTCATTTTTATCAGTTCTTTTGTCTTTGGGTCGCTATATTTCTCACAGATTTCTGCTCGTTCTAAATCAGATACAGATAAAGTAGCACACAGTAAAGTAGCACATATTATGAATGCATTAGTGTCGTCATGGCAGAGCATTGAAGTCGATTAGTCGGTGCAACCCCTAATGACAATAAAAAGTTAGTTAAAAATTGGTGATGTTTTCCCTTAAAACTGTAATGGTAATTATATACAGCAATTTTTATGTCAGTATGAAAAGATATGCGTTTAGAAGTAGTGCTGTCAAACGATTAATCGCGATTAATTGCATTCAAAATAGGTTTTTGCTAGAACAAAATGTTTGTTTACACAATATATGTGTGTGTACTGTGTATATTTATTTTGTATTCATAAAGACACACACATACACTATATATTTTGAAAATATTTACGTGTATTTACAGGTTTATATTTACATTCATATAATTTATATTATAAATATATTTAATATATAAATATAACATATTTTTCTTAAATATATACATGCATGTATGTGTGTGTATATATACATAATAAATATACTCAGTACACACACATATATTGTGTAAACAAAAACTTTTATTTTGGATGCGATTAATCACGATTAATCATTTGACAGTACTATTTAGAAGATATGTCTGAACTTTCTCTATTTGTTGAAATGTAAGCAATATCAAAAAGCTTTTGACTGGCATCAACTCCAGATGGTCTGACTCAAATTTGGTCACTTGGATGAAAACTATAGGAGTTTGAATAAAAAGATTAGCTTCATAAAAAAAAATTACAAAATCTAGTTTTGAGAGACTGACTCCAAAACTGGCAACATATATATTGAAACTCTGCCTAATCAGTGTGCTACATTTCACACCTTTTAGCATACGGTTCTATAGGTAGCCATATTATGCGAGAAGTAGAATAATAAGAAGAACCTTAACAGATACAATACGTGCCTACACACCTGCAGTGCTTGACATATGCTTGAATATATCAATAAATATGTGTGGGCAAGTAGTCTAAAGGATAAAAGAGTTGTTGGTAATTCAAGCAACAAACTAGTAATATACACTCAGAAACAGACGAAACCAAATATTCTGATGAAACTCTTTAGCATGTTTTAGAACATGAAGACTGACATTTATGCTATTCTGATAGTATTCCAACCATCAATAATAACTGTCTTTATTTATAGGGCACCAGAGTGGAGATTTCTGCCAAAAATCTCAGAGTAATGGACCAGATGCCACCGTGTGCTCCCAGGTATCACTGACTCTTGCTATTTAACTTTAAAAATGAAAAGTGATTATTCCTGGTTTGGCTTTGGAGTTGAATGAAACTTCTACAGTAACCAATCTCTTTTTAATCCTCATCACAGGCTCTTCAGGTTGTGTTTACCCCCCTCCGATGGAGATCTTTGAATGAGGTGATGTCTGTCTCTCAGACCTTCTAGATGCTGGGAGATATCAAGACTGGCTTATCATTTTGAGACCATGCCTCAACACATCTCAACTCCCGACCAGCCTCATCCAGAGAGGTCTGGCTGAGGTCAACACGACGAGGAATGAGAACTGTCCGACCACTTTTATCTCCTGCTCTGGCAGCTGAGAAAATCGCTAATGCTAACGATGCTAATCTTGGCTAGCAGTGTCTGCCCACATTGCTACATTGTTTGGTCTCCTAATGGATCTGGACTAGCATGTGAATGGCTAAATCTAACTGTAAAAGGTTGTATTATCTCTTCCTTTCGCCTCTGACTGCAATCTTGCGTCAGCAAGTAGGGTGGTTTGGTCTGGATGGCGACGTTAAGTTCAGATACGTGGTGATTATGTGCAATTACTGTAGCTTAGCATGCATGTGTCTGCACTGTGTCATGGGAGGTGGTGCCCTCAGATAGCTGTTGCGATTCTCTCACTCATATCAGGTATTATGAAAGTACAGAAATCATTCCAGCCTACATGGATCAGTTTCAAAATCGTCATTGTGTTTAAAATTCGCTTGATTCTGTTTAAAAGCACAATTTTATTGTGAAGTTCTATCAACGGCGCATTTTAAGAATAACAGGGAAACAGTTGGAGGCTATAAGCTTCTCAAACAATACAAAAACATAGGCCCGCATACAAAATACAAGATTTCACTGCAATCAGAATGTTGATATTGAAGGTTGAAACCATTATTGATCAACTGGGAGAAAAAAAATGGTGTATAGCACTTTTTAAAAATGAATCAGTACTGTGTTACAGTGCGTGACTGTCCTGGGGAGCTGCTTTGGGAGGCTGTTTGGAAAGGCACAATAAAAAATGCTTGTGTTCTTCAGTGTTTATTAAAAGTACTGTACATTTTAGAAGATAAAGAAACGCAAAGGTATCATGTGAAGAATCAATAGATATAGTAGGATTTTATTGAAGTTTTGTATTTAGGTAAATATATATGTATGTATCAGAGGGATAAGCATATTCTCTTTGGGAACAGCAGTGCTATAATTTAAAGAGTATTAATAATGTTAAATCATATAATATTGTACATCTTTCATTTTGTATACTTAGTGTATATTTGGATAGGAAACTTTATCGTGCTTTTACACAATGTGTTCGATATTTAATTTTCTAACTTCAGCTGTGTGGTCAGTAACCGAGAAGGCCTGGAAATTGAACAGTGATCCTGGATTAGTTAAGCTAGTATGTACACTAGTATGTGATGGCTTTTGTAACATGCGAAGTCTGCATTTCATTTTATATATATATATATATATATATAATTATACAGTATATGTTACCTTCAGTAGTCCTGACAGTTGACAGTATTTGCTCAAATTTGACACAATTTTAAGGACGCAAACAAAGATTTGAGTAAATAAGGTCACTTTAGTGACAATAATGCAACAAAGCATCGTGTCTTAATGAAATCTTAATGAGACGTTCATTGTGTTTGTATTGTAGCTTGTAACACGTCACTGTCTGTTACATATCAGCATGGAAGTTAGACGCAGCAACTTAAAACCAATGATAATATATTTTAAACAATACTTGAATTTATGCTAATAAATAGTGTTTTTTTTCCCCTCCTCGTATCTATCTAAATTGAAGCCTAGTGTTGGTAAAATGGCGATTTATTTTTAATTGGATTTTAAAATTGTATTTGGTCCTCAAAGCAAATTGTTTTTAAACTGGAAACAAGTGTTTTTAATCCACAGAATCTGTGCAGTGTCATTATTGTATGTTTTGAAGGTCCTTGTTGTTGCTTGTTATTATGCTTTATAACGTCCACATGAAACCTATCATTTCTGTATGATAGACCTAAATCTAGTAAAACCCAAAGACTTAGCATTAGCATGTTCCTATCTCTGTATATTAAAATCTCAGGTTTCTGCACCATCTCGGTCCATTATTGTGCGATTAGCTTCCCCTTTCAAAAGTTATGACTGAATAATTTAACATCACTAATCAGCCAGCTGGAACATGGTATGCTTGTATTCAAATGTGGATTTTTTCTTTTTTTTTTTTTTTTTTTTTAACTTTAAACTCATGTCCTGTTTTCAGTACTATCTTATGTTTATTATTGCCAAGTTTTAACTTCTTGCCTCAATTTCAAGTGTACTTTTTAGCTCAAAGAGCAAAAAAATATTCAATGGTGCTTACAAATCAAGCCTTTCTTTTGAGGGCCTTGTAGTTTCTTGGTCTTTACCTCTTATTTGTTTTTCCTTTCATTTCAAAATTTTCTTTATTTGACCAATTCTGTTGGTTTCTATTAATGAGAGCAGTTTAATCAAAACCTCACTGGTGGAGTGAAGGAGTAGATCTAATCTGCATCTGTAAATATTTAACTTTAGATTAATGTTTGACTGTGATGTCTCTGTCTTTATGCTGTCCTGAACTGTTAATGATAAATACATTAATTGACTCTTAAACTTACCTTGCTGGTAATGTAAGCTTGTATCCAGTTGTTTTTAACTCAGTGTTGAATTAAAAGCATTGTTTAAGCTCTCCTTTCTGAAGTAATGTAATATCTATATTCAGATCCTCCCAGAATGCACCTTCAGGTAAAACTAATGACCTGCAGTAAATCCAGGGGCCTGAAGCCTCAGAATTGTCTAATTAGGGATGTAAAACTGCCTTGTACCCTAAAGCGCAGTGTGTCACCCTGTCTGACAGGAGTAAACCATAGCTTTGTCTTTATGCTGTATTTAATGCATTGCTAATATCAAACAAATTAAAAGAGTATCTGTTTATAAATTACTATTGATCTGTCATTGTTAGAGATTAACAGCACCGAACAGAATACATAACTGTTATAGTATATATAAGTTATAGTATATATAAGTGGGCATACACTGTTTATTGCACTTTCAATTAAACCACGACTTTTGATTGGTCTGCCTTAATAACCATTTTCCCCCATTATAGACTGTCTAGTTGCACACCTGTGCAGAAATCAGCCCTTTTATGAGATTTTATAATGTTTTACTTAAGGTAAGCATCACCCTTTTTAACATGACACCAACCTGGATTAACCTACTGCTCGTCTCCATTGTGCTGTGTGAAGGCATTAAGATTTCAGCATTGCAAAGTTCTGTTTCCTTTTCTTCCATGAATGATTTAACTAGCTTTCTAATTATTTACTACTTGCAACAATTTGTTACATCAGCCCCTTCATCCAAAATCCGACAGCTGAAACATTAAATATAGAGGCTCATGCAGGAGCCGGAAGGCGTAAAGATAAAGGACTACCCATTGCAGTTTCGCCTTAGCGTTTCAATTGGCTTTTAGTACGAGACCACCGCACTACAGAACACACCCCGGTTCGGCAATGTCTGCCCACGACTACTTTATACACTCGTTTGGATCTGTCAAACTGTAAGGATGGTGAAAAAATCCGCCAACGGTGAAGTTTATCACCCTCCGGCAGGGGAGAAGAAACTGAAAGTCGGCTTTGTGGGACTGGACCCCGGGGCTGCGGAGACGAGCCGAGACGGGGCACTTCTTATCGGCGGTTCCGAGAGCACAAAACGGGGCAGCATCCTGTGCAGACCGAGGTCCAGCATCTCCAGGGGCAGGATCGCTCACAAAAGAAACGCGCGTTATCGCAGACTGCAAAATTTCCTTTACAATGCGCTGGAAAGACCCCGCGGCTGGGCGTTCATTTACCACGCTTATGTGTGAGTATGTGCTCCGTGATTTGCGTTTCTGCGTGGCGTGGGAATCACCCACATTTACCGACAGAGATGCTGCTGTGCTGCACCGCCCAGAATGCTGAAAGTTTGAGATGTTGTCGGCCGGCCTGCCTGCAGCTTTTGTCGCAGAGCGTCAGCCAAACAGTGGGAAAATATGTAAAAGTTTTGTCTGTGTAGCAAATGTCAATATTCATTCAGAGCCAGGCCGCCAAATGAGCTTTTCACAGCTGTGCATATTTCATAAACTGAGTCGTTGGAAAGTGTTCACAGATTATTACCGATGCATACTGTAGACTCAGCGCACAGGGTATAATTAGGCAGCGGTTTCAGCACCGGTCAGCTCCTGTAGTAGCCTACCGCGTCAGTGCGCTCGATCGTGTTTGCCGCGGCAACAAATCCGTGTTGCTTGCCAAGGGGGAAAACCGTGCCAGAGGTCCACGGCTACGCCGGTGGCATGCAAACGGGGGCGCCGCTGGGTTCTTTGCTGTGGCACAGCGGTGTAGGAACGATCTGGAAAGTGAGGGGACCCATTTTCAGACCTTCTTAGTCTGGTTTATGAATATTAATTGAGTGACGTAACTTTCGCGTAAATGATTGGCTGAAAGGCAGTTCATGATCCGAGCCTTGTCAAGGGTTGTTTATACAAGGCGAGTTTTTGCTTTCAAAATTAGCTAAACAACGAGAATAATGTTATATCGATAATTAAAAAAAAAATGTTTTAAGTGATTTTACATTGTCCTGGCGACTTAAACGTGGCGGTCATGGGCGAGACCATCAAAAAAGCGCATTTGTCTGTTTGCATCAGAACAGACAGACGCAAAAATGCCTTTTTTTACAATAAGTTTTTTTTTACAGTATGTCATGTGTATTATATTATGTCTACTGTTTATATCAGGGCTGTCCAAACTCGGTCCTGGAGGGCCGGTGTCCTGCAGAGTTTAGCTCCAATCCTAATTAAACACACCTGAACCAGCTAATCAAGCTCTTACTAGGCCATGGTTGTCACTATTTTGGGTCGGTTGTGTATAATGAGCCGGAAGTAAGTCTGAATCGGTTCGCGATTTAATCTAAATTATTCGAACTAGTGATGGGAAGTCCGGTTCTTTTTCGCGAACTGGTTCTTTCGGACAGTTCGTTTCAATGAATCGGTTCTTTTACGCCCTAACGTAATTCGCGATGACGTAATGATATCAAGTCTATCGTCCCGGGCACATTCAAATATAAGAAGTCAGTAATCATAACTTCAGTCAGTTAAAACATCATAATCATGATCTGAAAAGTTTACAATTAAGTTTTGCAACTAAGCACCCATACAGTAACAGGCAGTGATGGGCATTAAGTAGGATTTAAGTCTTGAAGATATAAAGTAAATAAATTAGTTGTCATCAGCGCAGAAACCATAATCCACTTACTATACATAATCCATTGCGATTTAGGCCTATTTGTTATTAAATAAATTTAGGTTTTGCCAGATTGCCCTTCATTCAAGTCTTCGGTTTACCCGTGCTCATAACATTAGCACAGAATCAGTTGTCCAAAAGAACCAGTTCGGTTCAGACGTGCTGTAGTGTCAGTCATAGGCAATCTGTTGAGAAGGGTCTGGCTGCAGCCTCGCACTTGCACTCTCAGGCTTGCACTCTCAGACACTTGCGCTTCCGCTAGCGACGTCACTTGCAGGCTTTATTTTTTATTTTGTTCTATTTTTTATTACTTTTTGTTTGAATCTCTCAACATTTTACAACAGTAGCCAGATGGTGAAGACAAGAAAAAAGAAACTAAATTACGAAGTCACTCGGACGTGTCCGAAAGAAACGGTTCTCGGTTCAGTGTACTGGTGATCCGAAAACCGATGCAATCGGTTCTTGACTCGAGAACGAGAACCTCCAGCAGTGGGCGTGTACACGTTCATTACCCTGCACGCTACACACATGCTGCTCTGCTCGTGTTCATCTTCAGTTCTCTCTTCACAGCAGTTCAGTCAGTGTACTGTCTGAGTAAATTAATTACTCCGGGATATTGGTTTATTTCGACTCGGAGGGAGTGTCAGCCACGTTAAAAAAAGTGAATAATTTAAGTAATTTGTGGATTAATGCATACTGGAGACGCGAACTGTTTCAAACGATTCAGGCCGATTTGGTGAACTGGTTCAACCGGTTCACTAAGAAGAACCGGTTAAATCGAACGATTCGTTCGCAAACCGGACATCACTAGCGCAGACATGCGGTTTCATTTACTACACATAGGCCTACTGAAGCTCGCAGTGTTTTCAGCCTCTGCCGCCTCAATATGAGTACATGAACACATAAACATAATCTCTAGAACCACTCTGAGTAACTTCATGAGCATTTTACTTATTTTGAGAAAACTATCATATCATATACAAAGAGACACCAATGTTTCAGGAGTTTAGTACACAGAATAGGACACATGCTTATTAGATAACCG